CCCTAAACCCCCAAACCCCCAAACCCCTAAACCCCTAAGCCCCTAAACCCTAAACCCGACAAGCAGCATAGGATCGTGCGACCCCTCTATGAGCTGGCGCAATCCATCATGGAAGCGCTTCAAGGCTCGGTTGTTTTGGGGGGTTTAGGGGTTTTAGGGTTTAGGGTTTAGGTTTTTAGGGCTGAGGGTTTAGGATTTAGGGTTTAGGGTTTAGGGCTTAGGGTTTGGGGTTTAAGGCTTGGGGTTTAGGGGTTTAGGGCTTAGGGGTTTAGGGTTTACGGCTTAGGGCTTAGGGCATTGGGTTAGGGGCTTTGGGCTTAGGGTTTAAGGCTTAGGGCTTAGGGCTCTTTTAGGGGATCCGTCCGGTTTTCCCTTGAACGATTTGGGGTGTTGGGCTTTGAGTTGAGTTAAGGGGGTTTCCGCAAATAGGGGACCCTAAGATAGTACCCTAAATAGTAGGATCCTTATTTTCAGGACCCCGAAGTACTGCACCCCTTATTTTCGGAAACTCCCTTATCAGGGGTTTAGGATCCAGATTTTCGGGTTAGGGGTTTGGGCTTAAGGTACCGTGTTTGACATGGGTTCCTTGTTGACAGTGCCCGTGTCAGAAGTACATCTCGCGCATTTGCCTGATTTAGTACTGTCATCAGTCGGCCATATACCACTTACCACTACGACAGCGAATGCTACTAGGCAATGTCATGGAGGCGAACTTACTACTGCGACTACGACCACTGCTGTGCATCACAATGATAGTAACTTCATTCCGGCTACAGCTTTTGTCAGTTGATGCCAAAGTGAATCTACTTACTTGCATTGGTTTGAGTCATCTGACATCGGGTACCTCTGCCGTGTGTGATGATGGTGGCGCGGGTCGCCCTGATGGCGCTGTTGAGGATATGTAGGATGCTGCTAGTTCTGATGTCGATGCTGCTGCTGCTGCTGATGGTCATGGTCATGGTCATGGTCATGGTCATGATCATGGTAGGGGTGGTGATGATGATGATGATGATGGTGGTGATGATGGTGGTGATGATGACGGTGGAGATGATGACGTTGATGATGATGACGACGATGTTGATGATGATGCTGATGCTGATGATGCTGATGGTGCTGATGATGCTGATGATGCTGGTGATGCTGTTGATGATGCTGATGATGATGCTGATGATGATGCTGATGATGCTGCTCATGATGCTGATGATGATGCTGATGATGATGCTGATGATGCTGATGATGATGATGATGATGAGGATGAGGATGATGATGATGATGATGATGATGAGGGTGAGGGTGAGGGTGAGGATGAGGATGAGGATGAGGATGATGATGATGGTGATGATTATGGTGATGATGATGATGATGATGATGATGATGATGATGACGACTTTGGCTGACCATTCTGGCGATGATGGCGATTGTGATGACGGCGACGATGAAGGCTTGATCACAGTGCTGTCGGTGTTGAAGTTGAATGTGCTATTGGTTGCCCAAGCTGGCCAAAGCTGTAGATGAGTACGGTACATCACCTGCTTCACTTGGGATATAGGAGATTACAGTTGACTTAGACTTCACAGTACCTCGACTGGCCTTGCCAAGATCAGGATTTGGTTCCCGAGGTTTAGGACTCTAAGACACTTAACCCTGGGCCCTGCACCCTAACCCTAAACCCTATAATAAAAAACTTGAAACCCTAAACCCTAAGCCCTAAACCCTCAACCCTAAACCGAGGGCCGTCAGGATCTCTAGTCGTTTTCTGGGCGAAGGCGTGCTTCAAGCTTCAGGAGCTTCGAGACTTATAATTACCCTAATAGGGATCCTAATTGGGGTTATGATAGTTATAACTCTATAAAATAACTACTTACTAGCTCTTGCATACCTTCGAAGAGTGGCCTCTGCCGTCCACTAAGCCACAAAACCCCCACACTCCCCAGCCTCAAAATGAAAGACATACGCATCAGTCATGACACTAGATCACTCAGTCACTCCCTTTAGCCTCAATTCCGTTCTAGATCATGAAGCTCGATGGATTAGTGAAACAGACCCGTCAGTCATGAAACTGGGTTTATGAAGCCCGATACCGAAACCCTAAGTCCTAAACCCTAAGTCCTAAACCCTAAATCCGAAACCCTACATCCTAAATCCTAAACCCAACCTAGACCCTAAACCCTAAATCCTACACCCTAAACCCCCCTAACCCCCTGAACCCGCAGCTTGGCGAGGCATGTTCTGGGTCCTCGTCTTCATGATCCTCACGTTGCAGCCTGGCAGCACTCCCTAAAGACGAAATGAACCCTAAAAGGGTTTAATTAAGGTTCCTATTCCTTGTAGAGATTCACAGTGTAAGGGTATAAGGGAACCCCAAATGGGCTTGGGCTTTAGGGTTTAGGGTTTAAGGTTCATATACCATATAGGGATTTATGGCATGAGGGTATAGGGCGCCTACTTTTGCGAGTCATTTGGTCCCTACGGCTCTGACTGCGGGTCGAGAGTTGGATGCCTTAGGTTCGGGTTTAACTTACCTTCGCCACAAGTAACCCTACCTTTTTTAAGGACTTACATATCAGGAAATCATAATAAGGATCCCTATAAAGGTATTTAGGCTTTGTAGGGTCCAGGTAGTGCTGTGGTTCTTGGCTTTCTCCCAGACTTGGAGGATCATTGGACTTCGTAAGTTTCAAGTCAGTAGTGCCTTGATGCGGCTTGCCCTAAACCCTATACCCCAGCCCTTTTTTGCTAGTCCCCTGACCCTCTGAATCTAGATGCTTTACTCTGCTCTCTTTCTATGACAAAAAATTCTGTATCGTTCCGGCAGGTAGCAGAAAACACGAAAGCATCAGCGATCGTCTTTTGATCCTTGCGCACCCATCTCGCATGCAAAAGGTACTCAGTGGCGATTCTCTGCACTCGGCTAATCGGCCACGGAACGGTTATCGCTGACGATGACGATCCGGAGATGAAGGAGATCAAGGACCGTGCGAAGTTGAATCGCTAACCGGTTTCTAGCAGGAAATGGGGAGGGGGGGGGGTGGGGGGGAACCCCCACAAACGGCTATATGGAAAGTAGATCTTGGGCTTTTCTGGGTACTAAAGGCTCAGGGTCTGGCGCCCAAGGTCTTGGCCAACTTTCCTCCCGAAGCTCCCACCACGAAGTATTGGAATGAAGTATACTTCTGATGAGATAAATTCTAAGCTCTTGACCCTAAACCCTAAACCCTAAACCTAAGCTCTTGACCCTAAATCCGACTGGAGGTTGGGAGGCTGCTGAAGATCGCAAGCTGGACATCGTCAGTGTCAGACTGTCTAAGTTGCAACATCAGAAACCTAACAATCAACAGTGGTAACAACATCCAGGAGAAACGTACAAACAGCTCGCCACCCTAAGCTGTATACTCTGCTATGCAAAAAAGCAGCCAAGATATAATGTTGACTCTTTGTTACGAGCCATACCGAAACCGTGCGAAGATCCAGCAAATTCAGAAGAAGCCCAAAATTGTCAATCCCAATCCCTAGACCCTAAACCCTAAACGCGAAACCCAACCCGATGGTGTCCTTGCCGTCTCAGGAGATGTTCAGCTCTGTCAGCACCAGCATGTTCACCCTCTTCGGCACTGCGCCAAAGCAGCAGACAGCGATGAATTTTCAAAGAAGACTATTTTCTAAACCCTGAACCCTAAACCCCTACACCCTAAGCCCTAAGCCCTTTTTCTTTATTCACACTGCTGTTGCTACGTACTCTTCTTACGAGGAGTTAATGCTATTCGCACGAAGACTCAGGGGTTGATTTTGGAGTCCCAGGAAGCCAGGCCTTCCACAATTCCTTAGGGGTTTAGGGTTTAGGGTTCAGGGTTTAGGGTTTAGGGTTTAGAGGGGCTCCGCATATAGTACCATTATGGAATTAGGTCCCAAAAGACTGTCCTTCTTAAGGTTTTAGGGACCTAATTCCATAATGGCACTATATATGGAGCCTCTAGGTTATTAAGGGTTATACCTCAAATCATATGCGGGATCCTACTTTTAGGGTTTAGGGTTTAGGTGTAATTTAAGGTAGACTCCGTAAGAATATGGAATCTTGGAAGGTATGGAAAGTTTAGGCCTCACCAAGTCCTTTGGGCAACTAGCTAGACTTGTTGCACGCTCCTGGCATGTCTAAAGCCAGAGGCCCTTGAACTCGTACATAAACACAACCGAAGCAATCGCCCCCTAAACCCTAAACCCTGAAGCCCTAAACCCCACCCCTAATCCCTAAACCCTCATGGCATTCAGAGGTCAGCAGCTGGAGCTTGATGAAGTTCGTGCCCCTCTTCGAGGAGCATCTTGGCGTCTGCTGTTCTCAGACCTTCCAAGTCAAGGAATATGCTTGAATATACCTTAACTTATAGCAGGATCCCTGGTTATGATTTAAGGCAAATTCCCAAATTAGGGGAGTTTGGAAGGTCTGAGTACCTAGAGTCTTAGGGGACTCTGGTAAGTAGGTCGCGAGCATAGCTTTAGAAATGGGATCAACAACGAATTAGGCTACTTTGCACTCCCAGTTATAGGTATCTCTTCACTACTAAGGCCCTCGGGAGTTGATACCCTTCCAACAGCTAGCAACAGCGGCGAACACCCGGCTTCATCACAACCCCTGGGCCCTGAACTTACTGAACTGAAGCCTAAGCACAAAACCCCTAAACCCCAAAAGCCCTAAGTCCTAAACGCTGTAAACCCATAAACCCTAACAGCCTTAACCCCCCAACCCCTAAACCCTGAATCAGAGACTCCATGCAGGCGCCCAAAACCCTAAGACTCTGAAACCCTAAACCCCTAAACCCTAACCCTAAGGGTCCAAGTACCCAAATAGTAGGGTTGCAAGGTCCAAAAACCATTCAGGGTATGGATTTTGGGGCCTAAAACCTTACTGTTTGGATACTCGGACCCTCTGGGTAAGTCAGCTGAGGATGCCCTTCCTCCAGCCCTTCTTTGTGTCTTAAAACCCTAAACCCGAAAGTTTTTCTGAGGATGCCTTTCCTCCAGCCCCTCTTTGTGGTCTTCTACATCTACTCAGCCTGGGCGCTCCTCGCCGTGATGACAGGCGCGGAGTGTCAGATGGTTTAGGGTTAGGGTTTAGGGTTTAGTACGTGAACTACAACCCAAGATTGGAGAAAGACCCACCTAAGTGACCCCTTCAAGGCAGAAATGCAATCACAAAGTGTTCTGAGTAACCCTGCAAGCTGAACGGCTCCTAGGATCACGACGCGCACCTTGACCCTCCCAGGGCCTTTTTCTTGAACAAAAACAGCCTCCGTCGCGCCAGCACCAGATCCTGTGGCTCATCACACGCACTCCCCCTTTCGCGCACCCCTCCAAAGAGTGCCGAAATAAAGGGTACAAGAGCCACTAATGGAAAACAAGCCGAACTCCCTAAG